GCCTCATCATCGTATCAGCACTCCAAATTTGATTATATGCTAGGTCGTGATTATCATGGTGACGAAACACAACCATTAGGAGTAGAGTTGCCAGGCGACCTACGAAGATCATCATCTGGACCTGAATCTCCAGCATCAGCGATTCGTGGGAATTTATTGTGATCATTCTTGATCCTACGCCCAAACGGTTCGTCCGGTTCCAGGCAGCCGAACCTAAGCATCTACAGCATTGCTGTTGGCAAAATTCTCAATTCAAGCCAGTCGTTATGCCACTGGAGCAGAAGAACACTCAATTGAGCTGGTCACTCCATTTGGCCATTTGGATTCACCACAATAGACTATGCTTCTAATGAATCTGTAGACATCCGGCGACATCACATCTGAGCCGAATGTCGATTCAGAACGCCCAAGTGCAGAAAAGACCCTGTTTCATCATGTTTGCAGTGGAGTTCGATAAGTTGACAAATTCGTGAATTTTGTGGCTGATTTGAGCGATAGTATGTGCTACATTTCAACCAGTCTGTACTCGCATAGCCAGATCGCCGTAGCCTAGTTTTCTAGCATGTTTTTACGATCTGCTACCATCCGTCATGGCAACAAATGACTTTGCCTAATGCGCAATTGCCTCTCTGCTCTGCTCTCCATCTTATCCTGTCCTCTGTGCTAGCCGCCGTCCCCGGTTCCTTCGCTCCAAGCTACATCCGGCTCTGCGCCTACATACAACCTGATGGCCATGTGATCAGTCGCTCTACCGAGAGCTCTTGTTGGTATCGTTCTAACGAGACTCACAAAAGGGAGATTGCGATGTACCCATTTGTTACAAGCCGAATGCCGGACACTAATCTGCCGCTTTTAACCACATGTCCGGCATGTGGCCATGACAAGCCTCGGAAGTTTATCAGAGCACCGCCGCTCCTTTCTAGCCACTCCGATAACCCGAATTTGTAGTGAATTCGGCAGGCTTCACTAATACTCATAATGCATCAAGCGAGCCAAAAACCCACTCGCGTCTCTCCGCTCGAAACTTATCTTTACTGGAGCATAAAGTGGTAAAGACGATTGTTTACCAAAAGGATCCAGCCCATGTGTCCTAATCAACAGCTTCATTTATCACATTTCAAATGACTACCTTATTTCCAGGGGTTCCTAAGTCTCTCTTATGCCATAAATTACAACAAAAGATCCCCATATCGCCACTTTCGCAGGATGACCAAATGACTGTTGCGCAAAAGGCAAACAAAATGTCTCCGTCTCCGTGTGTCCCTTTACTCAATTGTGTGTGTTTGCGCTAGAACGTTTCATGCTAATGGAATCATTGGTTTATGTGAAAATAAGAGAACCTTTAATATTACTGAAATACTCACACAATCTGCCTCTATGACAGTATTTTAATTATTTCTTCTTCATCCCCTGAATATTTCAATCTGCCACAAGCAGCGTTCATTAACTAATAATTGTAGTCACCCTAGGCCGCATAAGTTAATTTAGCGCGGAAGGTTTGCACAATACCAATGAAATGCACCTAACCTTGCTTCTCTAAGGCTTTTCTTAACTTAACTGGATCTTAATGCCATCGTTGTTAGGATTTGATTTTCGCCAGAACGGGATCCCAAACCAGATCAAATGATCACTTAGGCAACGCTTTGAAAAAGATTTTTTGGATATTTCATCTTCATTTGTCAAATTCAAGCGCTATCAACATTGTAATTCTCTTATTTAAAGTACAGAGGGCCCGTTTAATGCTTAGAAGACAATTGCAATGTTGATAGCGCTTGAATTTGCCAATGTTATTTGGTCGTGGCGATGGCTACCACAGTAGTACAGACGAAATTTCATCGAGGCAGTAGGACTACGCGCCAACGACTTGTTCGCTCATTTCAACCGTCCAAACCCGAAAGACACCTTCCTTCTCTTTCATTGGCACTGATTCACGAATACTTTACCCGAATTGTTTGTCCATTTACATGAAAATATTGAGGAATTCTTGAAAAGCCAGTTTGATTTGAATTTTTTTTATTTCCAAAAATGCTTGATGGCAAGGGTTGACCAGCTGTGTGGCTGCCTCAGAATCTGAAAACATGAGACAAGTATAAAATAATAGCCACAAGGTAGAAGGAAGAAAAGGTTGTACTTTTTCTCTTAAGCGAAATGACAAATCTATTGAGCTTTTGGTTAAATAAATTGAAAGTGCTTCCATTAATGCTGCAAAAATACATTTCACTCCTCTCGCACATAAAAGCCTTTGAAAAATTTTGACCTACTAATTTTCGCTTTATCGTTTTTGGTTAGAAGAGCTAAAAGCATCTCTAAATAGTATGAAAACAAATGGTTCATGATGAATATCTTGAAAAAAATGTATATCATTTTTGAGCGGAACTTGAATTTGCACGAAAGTGTGCGATGGAGCGACCCCGAGGCCGATCACTCAAGACGGAGACAGAGGATTCCTCTTTCTCTTATGGTTGAGCTTACTGCTACGCAATTTCTGACAGAGTTCTCGAGCTAACTCTTCTCGAATAAGCACACTTTCACCGGTATCGAAGGCGAGCACCAGCAAGAAGAAACTTTTGTCCAGCATGCCAGCCCGGTTTGTCTAGACTGAAATGCTTCCATTTCCCACATGGTCCTCGGATAAGTAGAAATGGTATCGTAAGTTCGTAAAGGCTGTATTTATGAGTTTGGTCGAAAAATTGAGAAAGGTTCGTTATCTTGTTAAGTAAAAACTAGCCTTTTGGAGCAATGGTTACCGAAATCATTGCTGAATCCTTGAGCATAGCGTCGATTCTTTGAACAGAATAGAGATGAGAGCGAATAAGACCAAAGTTTTTTCACCTATTATGGTTTTTAAATGAATACTCTGGCATCAGATATTTACAGCGATGCTGATTACGTGCTTGCATTAAATTTGTCGATCACTCATGCGAATTGGCTCCGTTGCGAAGCATAATGAATATTCTTTCTACTTGTCTAACTCAGCATTATAAAGCCTTTACACAAACTCCTCATAAGACGCCTGAACAAGAAAAAACGACAAAACTTTGTACAAAGGGTATGGAGCAAGAGAATTTGTAGCTAAGCCAGTAAAAATGCATATAAAAGCTCGACTAGGCAGATCGGTCATGTAGCAAAGAATATGAAGCGAGGCTGGGTTTCGAAGAATCCCTCAGTAGATTGATACTGGCACACCTTTCATCTCGTTTTACAAAGTGGGTGGAAGGGATTCATAGCTTGGTCACACCGGATACCGAAGGAGGGTTGCTTTGGACTTTAGTCTATCGAATTGTCCTACGACTTCGATGACTCTGTGCTGAGCTTTCGTTCGTCATGTGGCGGACCTCGTCAAAGTCAGAAACCATTATTCACGAACCTCAACCAAAAAACTAAACCAAGAAAGGTGGCCAGCTGAGATCCTACTTCTCGGAGCTCTCTTTGCTGGGTCATAGGACGGTGAGCAGAGGTATTCTTGGCACAATTCGAGCGATGAAAGTCCAAGGCAACCTTCCTTTGGTATCCAGTGAGATCAATCTACTACTCACCTTCTCAAGCGAATTGAAAGGTATGCCAATATCAATTTACGCATCAAAGAAGGTTATATACAGCTAGATGGTGTTGGTATACCTTTCATTTCGCTTCAAGAGGTGAATGATGGGGATTCGGAAGTTGGCCTCACCTGAGACCGAAAGAGATGTGGCTATAGTTTTCTACATACAAGTCCTCGGCGTACCGCCCAGCGACTTCGATGAATCCTTTTTGAGCTTTTCTCTTTCACATTACGGATGTCATCATATCATCCCACAATGCTATGAATAGACCTTACGTTTCCGTTGGACTTCACATAGCCTTGCTTTGTCAGAAGGGTTGACTGCATTTCCTACCTCACCTAGGTCTTAACAGCACCCCCAGCGGGACTCTAACGATGACACTGTATCTTATAATCTCGACGCGGTAACCACTACGCCACATCGTCAAGAGTGCCCTTGGCTCAGAGGGCAGATGTGAATGTCTGGGGGAGCCAGGCGTTTTCCCATATCACATTCTTCGGTGGGATTGTCGATAAAGCAAATTTGTGTTTGCTATATTGTAAGCGACTAAGTTTCTTATTTTTCGTTTATAAGTAGGGATTCGAGACATTTTATGTTACCGATTTACTGGTAGTCTCGAGACCCTACTTATAAACGAAAAATAATTAATGCAGCCGAAGGCCACCACAGAATGTGATTTCGAAAAATTCCTGGCCTTACTTGTGCCATTGTGTGAAAATTTCACTATTAGTTCCTTTATCATACTAAACCAAATAGGCTGAATACCTCACGTATGAAGAAAAACTGCTCTTGGGAGAATTCCTTAGTGATTCATTATGACATCACTTTCCATTTCGAAGGAAAAGTGAGTTGGCAGGAATTTGTGATGTTGTTTTGTCGGTTTTCGAAGCAGGATTGCGAAGAAGCCCTCGGCTTACCGTCCTATGACCCTAATTAACCTGTGCTAAGCTTTCGTCCCTACTGTGACAGATATCATCTCAGCAAGAGTCAATACTTTACGAAATAGATTACAGCTTAGTATATTTTTGCTTTATTTCGTAAAATATAGTAGTCTCTTTACTGATTTATTTCACAGTACAGAATACTGCTTAGTTAAAGTTGAACAGTGAACCGAGAAATTCTTTGCACAATACAACAGTCTTCCCTACGCATTTTTCGGTGTGACCACATCACGAATTCCTTCCATACAACCTTTCCTTTGAAATAAAAAGTCGTGTCACAATACATCTCATATAGGCTCCATGTTTTCCTTACCTGCTTAATAATAGAGAAGTGGAGATATTTGGCATTAAGAGGCTACTGATGACGCATTAAATGGATGCAATTGTGACCAAACTGCTGCAGCATCCTCTAAATCACGTTAATTTTTGATCTTGTAATGTTGAACCATGTGATTGTGTTCCATTGCATCTGTGTTTTGTGTATGCATTCTCATCAATTACGTGAGACATGAAAGTGAAAACCGCTCTTCATCTTGCCCGTCGGTATTTCTTGTGCTCTCTCTCAAATTCTATCTGAAAACCACAAGTCGTTTTCGCTTAATCTCCTACACTCATCCCTTCCATTCAGGGTGTAAGCTGTTTTGTTGATCCCCATAGATTCCCTCATCTTCCGCTTACTGGTGCAATCTCCATATCCAGCCAAGCACTTAACCTTCGACTAGTCTATCTGTTGCCATGAGTGAGCCATAGGCTCGGCCAGCTCAGATTTTTGCATCCACAACCCATTTGCAGACTGTTTTATGTTCTTATAACCGCTTATGTATGGGTGTGCATGTTCCAATCCACATAGACCCTACCACATGAGCAGAAAACCTTGAAGCAGCCCGATCTGGAGAGAGGATCCGAATATTGATGAAAAGATGGCATTACTGAGAAACTGGTTATTTTCTCCTGACGTCCCATTTAATCAGTAATTCGCCTATCTTCTTCGAAAGATGACAATACAGCAACCTCATTACTCGAATCGAGTGGTCCTGCCGTCCAGCCTACCCAAATAAATTCTCTCTGTCAGCCTATTTGCTGATAGCTTAAAATAATTGTCAATTAATCTCAAGGGTCGGATGTTGCCAACTAAACTTTTCATTAAGCGCCTCAATTCGTGGTCTCTATGCCAAACATCTGCAAGACCCTGGCCACTTAGTATCATGTATTTCACAACTCACAATTTAATTGAAAACAAAATTAAAAGCTAATCTATCATCCTCTTTTAATTCCCATCTATTATATTACTTAACTTTAAGAAGTTTTCTAGACTTACTTTGACGTGCTGTTAAACAGCAAAATAGTCATCCGTCTACCTAATTGATAATTCAGGACCAAAGCCGCTTCTAGTACTAGTCAACTCTTCAATTGAGCCATGAAGTTATTCTGCGAAATTGTGGCTAAATCCGATCACATAAGTAAA